GTAATCAGCTTGTCCTTTGTGTGGAACAATGGGAACTGGTCCTTTTCTATGCCTCAGATTAGGTAGGTTCCAAGGACCACCTCTGCCCATTTCTAGTTATCTGATTCCTAGCTGTGTGGCTGGGCATAACATCTACTTCCATAGAAACCTCCAGCAGATGATCTCTAGATATTGGAGCCACTTAGTAAGCCTTCAACATTCATAAATAGTACTTGCTTTTTTATATGTGCAAAAAATGGGGTACAGAGGGTGTAAGCAAGTTACCAAGTCACACAGCAACTCTATAGAAAGGCTAGGAATAAGACAAACTTTATGGCTCAGCCTCTTCCTCTAATCCAGGGGTTCCCAGCCTTTTCCATATCATGACTCCATGTTATAAAAGAGGACTGGCCTGCCTTTCTAGCCATGAAGAAAAGGAAAGGGGTCATGTCTTTCTAAATCTGCTTTTGACACCCATTCCAAGGCTGAAGGCTCAGTTCCTTGCTCCATACATCATAAGGCTAGACTGGACCATTGTGATCATCTAGCTTCATGGTAGTGTCTTACAGAGGGCAAACTTCCCTGAATTAATTCCTGCTTGGAATAGAGTAGATTTTTTTTAAAGGAAAACAATCTGATTTTGATTTTAAAGATCCCAGTGATGGAGGATCCATCATAATCCTTGATAAATTGTTTTTGTTTTTTTTTAATTCAGGTTGCTTACTTCAAAGATGTGCTAGCAAAACAGGGGGTGTCACCATAACTCATCACCTTTCCTTGAACCTGAGCATCATCTCTGATCTTGGGTATATTGGCCATATAACGGGATGGTTTTCAGCTTCTTTGACTAGTGCTTTGATTTTGTCTTTGTGTGGTTCTAGTTTTGTTAATTAGATCAAGCCAGATTTCCACTGAGACTACAATAGTAGCATCCTCATCAATCTGTAATTTGTCAAGCCCCTCTGAAGCCTTGTGCAATTGCTTTAGTAAATTTAGTTTCTTTAGGGAGAGTCCCTTGTTGGGGGAAGTGTTATGTTTTGATTGAAGTCCTCTGAGTGATTAATGTAAATTTTAGTTTATGATAGCGAGACACACCTCTAGTGACATATTCATAACACAGGCCAGAGGACTTCTGCCAGGTATTCCTTCATTCCTCAACCTTGAGGTTGAGCTAGAGCACATTTGTTAGAAAGGGACATCCCATCTTGATTTTAAATCTACAATATTTCCTAGTATGTTGTTCCTGGTGGTTAATTAGGCTTATCATTGGAAATTGCACCTTTTTTCTAATCTTCCAGAATTCCCTGATGTCATTGGGAACCTGGGTCTCCCATTATCCCTTTTCAAACTGATTAATCATTTGAGGCCCAGGTGATCTCTGTGAGGAAAGGAACTGTTGAGAGGGGCCACTCCAAAACCCTGGTAGGAGAACCAAAGGCTAGCAGTTGCAGTGGAGACCCAGGCTTTTATAAAGCCTGGATACACTGGACACTTCCTCCTCTGGTGGTTGGATCCAATCCCCTTCCTCTGTGTCTTCATTCCA